TAGTTCTTCACAAAGGTACCACAGTGAGATATCAACCCTGAATTTCAATCACAACTTTTTAAACGAGGCTCTCTCATTCATACAATTTCTTCGGCCTTCAGAACGGTAAATTCATTGCAATATAGACAGAAATACACATGTTCCAGATGTTATTGAAGCAGATATGAAGCACAGACTGGGACTGAGTTGTAGTAGACTTTACAAACCCCAGCTCTCTCACTAGAATATGTTTCAGCCTCTTAGAGCTGATGAGGCAGCTCATTAACAGAAGATTTGAATATCCCAAATTATAACAAGATATCAGTGTGTTTGTCAGATGAGAGCCAGCCAAGGAAATCATATCTATATGAAATGCAATATTTATGAATTCTGATGCTGAAGGCTTCCTTCTAACTTCAATATTAAACCTGCTGAGGTTATAATCCACTCCTCGCTTTCTCTGCTCGCCCCATCCGTCCGCCTAATAATGATATCACTTACACACAGATATCCAAACACCAAGGCGCTGCACACTCACAGTTTAGTGGTTTACAGGGACATTTCCCCAGTTTCCCTCCTATTAACAATAACGTTACATATTCTTAATGTAGCAAACTAACCTCCATGACGTGGTTAACACTGCTATACATGGTTTGTTTTAGACATTTGAACAAAAGATCAAGCTGAATTATTTCTCGTGATTACATTGTCTGAATACCCAGGGTTTATGACTAATCCACTAACACTTGTTAAATGTTAACTCAGGGATAATAAAGCCCAGGGTTAAACATGGGATAACGCCGCCTGGTTTTGTTATAGCACTCAATATAATCCCCAAAATGTCCTCCCAGTGAAAGTGAATACACACCACTGAACTGAGCCTCAGAGGGGCTGAGTGAAACACAGCACTCATGCCAATGTGTGTTTTATTCTGGCTGTAAAGTTCACCACTTCGCCGGAGGTCTTTTTTCGGGAAAAGAATCCTCACCAGCTGAGAGCACGAGACATGTTGACGGGGAGAAAACAACATATTCTGCCCTTTTCGACCACTTTCAGAGCAGAATGATATCCGTGCGGTGGTCAAGCCAAACACGACGCAGCTCCACAGAGACGATAAGTGACGCAGCGGTTTGAAGTGGACGAGATTGCTGTGAAAACCGCCCCATGACTCATGGCTTTGTGTGTGTGTGTGTGTGTGTGTGTGTGTGTGTGTGTGTGTGTGTGTGCTAGCAACCGCATGGCTGCGTGGTGAAACCTATATCTTGGGGATTGGATGAATAAACACAACTGTGTGGTGACATGCATCATTTCTGTACTGTAATATACTCTATAATCAACCCCCCCCCCTGGAGAAGCGTACAGTAAATTATTATTTTGCTATGTCCAAAGTGTGGATGCATCTTACGCAAAGTTTATATTTAATGTGCACAAAGAGACGAAGCAAGATTTCCAGTGACCATCTCTTTCTGTTCGACCCATGTCTCCCTGCATGTCTCAGTCCACTGCTCCTCATTTGCATGACAGCTGTGAACAATATTGCCAAAGCAGCGAGACAAAGGCTCTCCATCTTTTCAATTTTGTCCTCTTTTCTCTCTTCCAGTGCCGCTGAGATAATGAAGTGTTTCACAGCCATGTGAGAGTGTGACACACACGCTGCTGCCAAAAGCTCTTGTCCAGATTAAAACCGCTAACAGGCCTGATCGCATGATGTACTGAGAAAACATCATCGGTCCAATTTAAAGTTGCATTAATCAATTGCTGAGCTGAGGGGAAAACCGTGGAGTTGCACATTACACATTTGAAACCATTGTTAATATAAGAATATTGATAAGTGCAGCTTTAATTTCGAAGCACTTTGAAGGATTTAAAAGCAAGGAAGCTGGCTGCCAAATATAATCAAAAAAATATGTTGTGAATTTTGTAATTTTCCTCAAGATTGTGGAGATCGATTTTCAGTGGAAGCACACCGAGGCACCTTCCTCCCTCTCCTCTCAGCTATGATGCTTTCTTGGTTGCCACAGCAGCCAACGAGGAGCTCTGGAGCCAGGCAGAAATGGGCTCTGATTGGTTAATCAGTATTCAGACTGCGTGTGTTTGCTTGGCTGGATGCTGCTCTGCCCTACTCTCTCTCTGTGTGTGTGTGTGTGTGTGTGTCCATCAAATGTCACTTATCACCTGAGAGATAAATTATTCCCCTCTCTCCTCCCGCTCTCTCTTTCTCCATCAGCCCTTTCTTCCCTTTTACTGTTGTTGTGGCGAAGAGGAGTGATGAATGAAGGGAGGGTAATGAGGAGAGGAGTAGAGGAAGAATAATGGGAGGAGACGTTGGGAGAAGAGGAAGCAAATGGAAGGGAGGGGGTCAAAGGGCAAGAGGCAGCGGGGAAAAGAGATGAAGAAGAATGAGTGACAGCAACAGTGTGACGACTGACCTCTGACCTCCAGCTTGACTGACTAGACGGAGGAGCTTTCGGTTGTCAATGATCGCCATCCCGGTTTTCTCTACGTTATATCAGCATGGCATGTTTACATAAGTCAAATAACGCCAATGAGACACAGAAGCAGTAATTACAAAAGAGTGGGGGGGTTCGATCTTAACCCTTTGTGATTGACAGCCGCCTGGTTGCCATGGGGATTTAATGAAACTGCCTTACATAATGATATTGTTCTGTGAAAACCTCACAGTATTGCTGATTTTCCTGTTTCAGCCTCAGTTAGAGGATCACACGCTCCTCTAGGGGACGAGGAAATACCTGTAAACATGTCGGATCAGAGGAGAATTTAAATCACCGTGGAGGTCACTCTGCATGCTCACGGTTGATGGAGATGTTGTCACGTGACCGCGGCGGCGAGGGATACGGCAGCTTGAAGTGGCCATGATTGCTATGAAAACCATCTATGACGCACGCCTTTGTGTGCATGTGTGCATGTAAGTGTGAGTGTGCATGTGGAGCGCCTGTTGTCTTTGATGATAATGAGGCAGACAGAAACAGGCTCTCAAGTGAGCTCTCAACGCCACCTCAAACACATTGCTTCGGCACGGCCACACTATCTGTGTGTGTGTGTGTGTGTGTGTGTGTGTGTGTGTGTGCGTGCGTGGCAGATAAGAGACCAAAAATCCCAACTCGATGCTGTTTTAATGAAATTAATCAAAAAGACGGGAAATCGAAACACTTTGTGCTATGTGATAACAAAATGTAATTTTGCTTTCTGGCTATAATTGGCTGCTTTTTAATAAGAGATTACTGTTCAGCCATTTTGCTTTCTGCATTATGGATGTTTTAATTTAGCTGGTGGCCAACGTGCTCTAACTTAATGAGTCAAAGCACACGCGGTGGAGTCCAACAGGGCCGTAGCCGGGATGTTTAGAGCACCTGTTTCACCAGCAGAACCCCACCCACCTATGGGCTTCTGAAGATGTTGTTGATGTTGTCATTTTTGCCGGAGCCGTATAATCCCCCAATAAGTGGTGTATTCCATCTTTTGTTTAAAGTAGACAGAAGGACGCAGGTCTAGATCCTGTCATTGACTTCTTCAATGATCAATTACACGGTCTGAAGAGGATGCTTGTATATATGATGGATGTGTACACAGAGAAAGATAACAGAGTATAATAGCTCCACGATGAGGCCTATCCAGCATATATAATGTATTGCATACACGGACATGCCAGAACTACAGATGAGCAGCTGAGGCCATTCTAAACATCACTTTGCTCACACTGAAGGAAATGAATTTGTCTGCAGAGTGACGGATCTCGCACGTGCAGCGTAATGACAAAGTACAACGGCAAAAAAGTTTTGCAGGAGGCTACGAAAGATGTGACAGTGCACGTGATAGCAGAACAGATGGTGAAACGAAATACTTCAAATGACAAAAGACAGGAGAAAGACTGGGGTGTGATGCAGTAAATATAATCATGACAAAGTCCACCATGTAAACCTCAATACTTTACAGTAACAAGGGATACAAAATTTAAAAAACGATCAATTTGAATGAGAGATGAAGCATGCAGCGTTTCATTGAATATAATTAAAGTTACAGTTCTTTATAACCCACATCTTGCTAATTAAACACCATGTTGCCCTTCAAAGTACACCTAATTTACAATACATTTACATATGCAAATTCGAATGACATCCACTTAATTACAGTATTTGCTGGTTCATCTGTCATTTAAAGGAGGCCAGGCGGTGCGGTGTGTGTGTGTGTTTCTTCCTGCCTGTCAACCTGTCTGAATGTGTCTGCCGAGCTGTCTCCACTGCTCTCTCTCTCCACACACGTCTGCCTGATAGTGGAGCTGTTTAAAGGTGCTTCCATCATACTCTATTTGTCTCCGAGGCTGGATTACCAGCCGGGTAAAGCGGGCAGGTTTACTGTGGTTTACACGAGTTGAAAAGTTACATGCTGGTCAAGTTAATATGGAAAATCTTTTGTGTTGCTGCATCAGACGTTTTCTACAGAGCCTACAAAAAATAACACTTGTGCTTATTAAAGCTACTGTGCGGAACTTTATTTTGTGTTGATTTTGGCGGCCCCTGTGGACAAAAGTGGTATTGTTTCTGAGCACCAGAGTCCCTTTAGAAAACCTGACAGTCTGCGGCGCTCAGTCCTGGTTCTGGTTCTCCCGTGCCTCCCTTCCCTCCAGTGGGTCCAGCATTACGGCCTGGGCCTTTAGCGGCGCGGTGTCGGCGGTGGTGGAGAGCTCAGAGCTTCACCGAGGTCCGCCTGCAGGGCGAAGCTGCCAGTAAAGTCGAATCTGGGTCTCTCCGTGGCAGGCGGTAGTAAATTGAGACTGTTTTTCGATTCCTTTACAGAAAATTACTTACTTTGTAGGGTTATATTCTGTGAAATTGAGCCACTTACTGAACCTTTTTTTGCTGCTTAATAGCTGATAACAGCACAAACACAAAGGATGATCTGTAAACCTATAAGTGAGTCCTAATGTTGAACTGGGGATTAAATTCAGGGATGATATCTTGAAATGATGAGTTAATATAAAAGTAAAACAATTAGACTCACACTTCCTTTCTATAAATCCTTTATTCAATATCATTTTCTGTGTTTATACAATGGATTGGACACAAACTGTACAGTGCAGACAAACTGTTTGCATAATATGTATGTAAAGGTAACTGTACATTTACTGACAGACAGAGTAATCTCCTTTAAGGTTAGCACCAGTGACATGTTGCTTTTGACTCATCGCTAGCATGGTTTGCATTAGAAAGACACGGCAGGTTGTTGTAAATCTCTGACTTCATTCAATGTGTTGTCTGCTCTGCGACTCATCACAGTGTCACTGAGCATGTAATTACATGTGTGCACTAGCTTCCATTAGCCCCGTTCCAGGACCGCGACACTACATATCAAGGATTTAAAAATAATTGTTGCACAGCTGCTCCTCAAATTGGTTTCAAGGAATCATTTTTGAAAATACAAATTTACTGGAGGTAGGTAAAAACTACAAGACCAGGTCATGATTTCTTTCATTGAAGTCAATAAAAACCAGGTCGAATCAGAAATGGTGCTGGATTAGTTCCTGGAGTGAGACCACAGGAGGCAGCACCAAGCTACACTCAAGCCCTGCACCATCTTTCTTTGGACTTTAATGGAAATTAATTTGCGTGTTTTTATGTAACATCTATTTTGCGCAGCTTAAAAGTCACATGGAGATCTACCACCTTGTGTGTTTGTAGGTTCGAGTCCGGTATACTGAATGTAGTATGATGGTCCTGGATCAGGGCTTGTTACCACCAACTATTTCCAAATCTATAAGTACCAAAAATCACTTCCTGAGCTCAATCCATCATTGTTAAAAGAAGCAGCAAAGGATATCAAAAAAATTCCTTCTTCCTGTTTTTTTTTGTGTTATAATTTTCCTGCTCTCAGGCAGAATTAAATATTGATGCTCTGCTGAAAATATCCCACGCAAGTCATGCATTAGTGTAACTGTGTTAGTGATATGAAGTAATTTTGATTCATTCGTCCTTTGCTCCATTATCGCAATGATGGATTATGCTTCAAAAACAATATGTCCCTGTTCGTTGCATGTGATGCCACAGGGGAACAAAGGAATGCCATTTGAATGCATTAATGACACAAATATCAACCGGTGCAAACCGATGGCAGAAATGAGCCAGAAGCAGAGTTTTACTGGTGCTACGCTGTAAATGTTTTTGTTTATGATAACATATTTCCTAAATTACCACATGCATCAGCCCCAGTCGTCTTTCCTCTTTTAAAGAAAAACATGCAACAGGTGGGAAACAGTCCAAACCGGAGAGAGGCGGAGGAGAAAAGAGGAGGTGGGAATAAGTTCTCCGCCTGCATGATTACAAAACGAGCAGAGAGCGAAAGCTAGCATAGTTACAGTGAACAGAAGATTGGGGATCAAAGGATAATTGAAACGTAAAGTAGGATGAAGTGTGTGTGTGTGTGTGTGTGTGTGTGTGTGTGTGTGTGTTCAGGGAAAATAAAAGCTGGAAAGAGAGTGCGTTAACCGTCTCTTTTCAGAATCAAATGTAATAAGGCAGTCTTTTCTCAGAGGAATAAAGTGGAATGGAAAAAAATAAAAATAAGAAACAGCAAAGAAAACCTGAGGGAGAGCGGCTAACCAACAGTGCTAATGAACCATTCCATGTTCCAGTGTCTCTAAAGTGCACCTGTACTGCAGTGGTCAGGTCACAAAAAGCCTCTGCTGTGCTCTTAATGCGTTCTGTTCATTGTGAGCCTCCAGCTACAGGACAAATTAAGACCAGAACACGAGTGGTGCTTGTATGTGGAAATTAAAAGTGACCCAAGGTTGTCGCCATTGCTCACTTCTAATTAAATCCGCTGCTCTCTTCCTGGGCAGAGCCCGCTGTTAGATATCTCATAATTGTAGTCTCGGTACCTGGCTAACCACCATAGTGGAGAGAAGTCTCTCGGGAGACGACGACAGGAATTGCGCCTCCGTTGTTTGAACCAGGAGCTGTGATTACCAGCCTGGAAACACTATTGCAGCAGTGTCTTTGCTCAGTAGCCAGGAAACAAGTCGCTTCTTCTCTCTCTGTCCTCAACCATCATTAATTCTCGAGCATGTGCCACAGATCTTCAATGGCTGCTTTCACAGGACGTGAACCCTACTTCTAGCCTAACAAGCCGGGCCTCTCTGAACAGAGGAAGAGTCGGTCGATCTTTTCTCTCTGCCAGCGCTGTAGACAAATTAGCTGCTTGATAATCATTCAGTGAATAGCGGTCGCTGTCCCGGAGTCTTGTCTCGGCAACATCTCCTAACGAGCACAAAAACATTGTACGCGATGTGTAGTTGAAGTGGCTTCTTAGACACAGGCAGCTGAGACAACACAGGATACATTATAAAATAAAAAAGGTTTACAGACCAGATTGTCAGGGTTTTTCTTCTTCTTTTTTTTACCGTTATTCTAGTAACCCCGAGTGTGACACGACAATATTATGTTACATCCACATTTGTTTGACGTGAGACAAGCACAACACCTCATCACCATCACCCCACTATGCTCTTCAAGTAAAATTAGACAGGACAGAGCTTAAATCAAGCCACTTTGAGAGTTTTGGAAATCTTGGTTAAACCCATGCTGGGACCCAGGAAGGCTGAGCATTCAGCATAAATCTGCAGCCGCCCTGGATCTTGCATCTTGAGCTTGGCTGGGGATGAGAGGCACTCACATAGCGAGAATCTACAGTACCATCCAAAAAAAAAACACTTTCTGATGTTCCAACAGCAGCAATACATTTCACGTGCACTTGCAGGTTTTTTTTAGCGTCGAGATTACACAGAAACTTAAAATGCTAAACTCTCATCGCTCTTTTTTTCACATATATTTTATTACATTCTGGCTTTAATGAATTGCATTTTTTTTGTAATCAGAAATCTCAAATATTTGTCTTTCAAAACAGTATTAAAGACGGGCCCATGAAACTATATTGTGAGCTGGCTGGCCACATGGCAGCTAATGAGCTCAGAGGAGAGAAAAATGTGTGAGCAGCAAATCTGAGAAATGCCAATTATAATCACTGTGAGCTGTCTTGTATTTTCACTGTCTCTTCCGTAGCGCCGTGTATCCTTTGTACAGTACACCGCAGCGCGACAACATGAAACACGCTGGACTGTTTCACCTACACAGACACACACACCTGTTGGCGAGGCGGCTTGCGAGGATTAATCATGCAGCCTTGGTTTTTTTTGGTTTTTTTCTCGGGTGGATGCTTTGTTCGTTGTAGCTGTGGGAATGTCAGTGGAGGTCACTCATCTTCAGCAAATATGACAGCGTTTCAAGGATCTGATTTAAATGCAAAGTGGCTACTTTGCCTAAAATTGGGATCCAAAGCAAGAGGGATGTGCAGTTTTCTGTTCCTTACTCAAGTCATTTGTGTCTGCCTCCTTGTCTTAGACACTAATGTGAAGCGTGGGATCACAGTATTAATGTCTCCTCAGTAATGTGACGGACTACTGGTGTAACTTTCTGAGGAGTTAATTGGCGTCTAGTCTTGCTGTCTGATAAGAAAGAGGAACAAACAGAAAGCCCGGGTGCTGAACAGGATTCAGGTCCAGAACAGATTGGTGCCATGTTGACTGTCACAGTGAGAGGGCAAAGCATGGGAATCTATTTGGTTTCATTTAATTTCAAAGCTTTTGATTTTCCGCCATGTAGTTTTCTATGTCTCACCCAAAAGCCATATTTCAGTACTTTGATTTGACACTGCATTCAATGTGTGCGGTTTGTTCTCACCACATTTCTAACCCTTTCTTAGTAACCTTCAGCTGCTTTTATAGGCCACTGTGGAGGCTAATTGAATCATCTAATTCTCACACTCTCCGTTTTATTCTGCAGTAAATATGCATGCGATCAGATCTGCTCTAATCCACTTGGATCCTGCGTCTAGCAGTGGAAAGTAACCACATCTTGTATATTGACTCAAGAACTGTGCTTCAGTACAATGTTGAGGTACTTGTACTTTACTTTACGCTACTTTATACAACATTGATATTCATTTTAAATACTTAACATCATCTTTGACAGCTATAGTTATCATTTACCCTGTTCATTATTACCCTCATTACTACCTTTAACTTCAAGTACTTGGGAAGGCAACAGAAAGAAAAGGTACTACTACTGTATTAGGCCGCCTGACCGTTCTTGGGGTTTCACCCTCTACAATATCTGCTACTCCATGTAAACACCGACTGCTACCATGCTGCTCGGACACCAGCATGACTCCCGTGTACTCTGTGTTGCTACAAAGAAAGCTACACACTCATTTGAGCAACTGGAAAGCAAAAGTCTTCACTTGACACGTCATTTGATCTCGTCTCCTGAGCTACACTTGTGTCAGCGATGTGGAAATCATAGCGCTTCGTAAAGGGAACGAGAAAACAACTTGTCTTGTGTACAACGATGCAGCTCGATAGTCACGAGTGCTCTGTGTGTGCAGAATAATAAACCATAGCTAGATGTACACAAACTGAAAAGACAAACATGCTTTAAGCTATGTAGTGTCAAACAGCTATATAGTATGTGATTACAATTACAGACAGGCCGTACGATGGGTTTGCACTGCATGTAATGCACAGGGCCGCTTTCAAGTACATTTCATTGTAAGCTTAGTACAGAATGTCCTGTGCCACGTCTTAATTGATCGATGACTAAGCAGCCGCTGAATCATCGGTGTTTGGTATTTAAAGCGTTCTCTTTGCCTGATGTTTGTTTTTTAATCTGTTCATTATTTACTCAAAGATCGAATCCGACTGGTCGATGTCGGACGGGAGCTGTCTGCATGTGTGTGTGTGTGTGTGTAGCCACCAGCAGGCAAGCGTACCTGGCAACAGAAAACGGTACTATCAGGAGAGGACAAACGGGGCCCTAATTCTTAAAGATTGTCACAGAAAAAAACCGGTGAGGACGACATTTTTTGTTTGTTTTGTTAATATTTTTAAGAAGTCATTTTGTCTTCCATTTGAGGGCATGCTGTCCCAGTTCCAAAATATCTGACTGGCATCGGCTTGACTTTACGGTCTTCGTCCTCCTCTTCCCCCCCCCACCCCGCCACCAGCCGCAGCGCTCTGTCCTTCTGGCTCCGCCCCACAACACCAGATCCGTCCAACAGGGAGAGAGGCGAGGCGGGACCTGCGGCCCCACTGCTGACCAGTCAGAACTTGAGCTGCTGTTTGTTTGGTTACCTTTTGTTGCAGTTTAGTTTGTTTTTGAGCGCGCAGCAGTGGGGCGAGTCTCTGGCTTTTCCTGGCCTCTGGTTGGCTAGGGAAGGGTAAAAAGGGAGGGAGGGGGAGGGCAAGGTTATGTCGCCTCCTTGTCGGGTTTGTTGACTGGTTTGCCGCCATTCATGACCACAGGTTCGCTGGTTGTGCTTTTGGAAGGCGGGCCCCCGGCGAGTTTAGGCACCGCCTCCCCTACGTCGTGCAACGAAGGCTCTCGGTACATCGCAACTGGAGGAGCGGCGGGAGAAAAGAGGCGGATGGGAGAGGGGGGAGGAGGACAGGTGGGAGGAAAGAATGAAAGGAAGGGGGAGGAGAGATGAAGGAGAGAGGAATAAGGAATTTAGGAAAAGAAAGAAGGCAGAAGTGTGGTAAAAGGAAGTGTAGAGGAGGAGAAAGAGAGGGATGGAAATGAATGAAGGAAAGAAAGAAAGAACGTGAGGAAAAGGTGTGTCTTTACTCTATAATCCAATAAAACTTATCATCAGAAATCATCAAAACAAATCTGGTCAAAAACCCAGGTTCATGTGTGTGTAATTGTGCGTTACCTTCTATAGGTTTAGGCAGGAAGTGTGCGGCTGGTTTGGTCTTTTTGACCCTGTTTCCCTTCATGGCTTGTCCCTCTTTATTGAGGCCCAGAAACCAGGCCCGGCCCGACTCCTTCTGTCTGTAGAGCATCGAGCTGTAGATCACATAGTAGTTCTCAAACACCGACTCCTTAAACTTACACTCCGCTGTGAACAGTTCCTGAGGACACAGACAGAGACAGAAAGAGGCACAATTCATATGATGTTGGGAAAAGACGTTACTTATAAATCTGAAACTGATGAAGTAGTTTCCCAGGACCCTTTGACCACCTGATCGGTAGAAGAAAATTTTGACTAAGAAACCTTTTGTTGAACAATTAAAATGAATGTAGAATAAACCATACACCGTATTGACCAGCCACAGACGGGGAGGAGCAGCCGAACACTGACTGAATGACATGTCGTTCTCCCCAGACTCTCTCTCTGTGCACATGAACAACAAACTAAAAGGATAAAAAATAAAAAGCGGATTGTTTCTGGTGACACAAAGCCTTAAAAAATAAATCTTCCTCCCACCCACATCAGCTCTGATGTTATGTGTCAGAACTCTGTTCCATGGTCGCCTTCAGCGGAGCCTATTTCAGCACTGAATCAGGGTGTTATTCTTACCGGGAGAAAAATTGAGTCTCCCTCGTGTCCTCTTGCACTACTGAGTCACACAGCAAGTATCAATGGCAGCCTGAGATGAAACAAACTTCTTTTGGAGGGGTCGGAGTCGAGGCAAGTCGGGCTTAAAATAAATCAAAAACTGCAATTTCTCAAGCTACAAAAAAGCCGAAGCTCAGGACAATAACACATGTTTCCACTGCTCTCTTATGTGGCGTCAACACAGCAGGAGATCAGTCTGGGATAGCAAGCCTCCCTATTAGGGCTCAGAACCCAATGTGACATAAATACATCAATCATCAACCATTTTCTGGTTGATCAAATGAGCAACTATTGGTGCACTATTTCCCAGAGTGACTCAAGTGTCAGCAAACCAACAGATTCCCTTTTACACATGGCAGAAGTAGTTATGTAAGATTTAATTACATTTTGAATAATTCTTGTGGGAAAATTTGATTATTTTTCAGCCAATAAACCAAAACACAAGCGATACTTACCACACTCAGATTATGTGGCAGATAGATACTGTATGTACAGCATATTTATTTATGCATACACAGTATCAAGAGGTATGTAAAGAAAAATACCAAGATCACCAGACATCAGTCAAATAAACAGTAATTCAAAGCTGCATATAATTGTAGCAACTTGGAGGAAGCGGAACATGTTGAAAACTCATCTGACATGCTATCGCCTCAAGAAGTAATTGACATTTTACACATCAAGCTGACTTGGATTTTCTGTCACGATGACAAAAGGTGAAATTTAAGCCCAATAATCTTTTAGCTCTGGTTTGGTTTTTCTCAGTTCTTCTTCACCAGCGAGTCTCTAACTCTGTCTGACATTTGGTACGTGGCATTCAGGTGGGTTATCCTTTCACACTATACTTAATTATTGACGCATTTTGAATACTAAAGATATGTGGCTTTAACTATCGCTTATTATCTTCCCTTGTATAACAAGAATCTACCTATCTTTATCACGTTTCATGAGGATGAAATGATTCAATGATTCACATTCTATCACTGAGACAGTTGCTGAGGATATAAATAGTGTTATTAAACTGCCCCTCATGTGGCTGAAGGGGCTCCTGCCAACCCAAACAATCACCCCGGATGTCCCCAGACCCCCGATTGGGAAGTGTTTGTCTAGACCGCCTCTTATTGGTTGTCGTGGGCCTCATGCCAGAGCCACAGACACATTGTCATTCAGCTCAGGTCTGTCGGTCCGAGTCTCATAGCAACATGAGGAAGAGAGGCGACACTGTAGCCGTGGCAACCAACCAGCGCTAAGAGGGAGGGGTCAGTTGTCTGGGGGGGGGGCGCAAGAGCGAGGGATCGAAAATACACACAAAGACTTGCATTGCTAATTCAACATATAATGTGCTACATCTTGTGCTCCACTCATGCTAACATAGAGACACTTATTAAAGGAAGGGTTGGGTGGCCTGCGAGGGATCAGACACACACACACACACACACTTGTGGCTCTAGGGGATGAATGGAGGGAGGTGCAGGGGGGGGGGGGGGGCTCGCTGGGATTTGAAATGTGACTAAATGATTTGCTGGCGACAAAACAAGACAAGGTTATAATGAATGAACGCTCTACTTATTGTCAGCGACACACACACACACACATCAAATGTTCTCCTTTGGTAACCATGGTTTTGATTGTGTGCGATTATTCTCAGAGGAGTTTAATATTTTTTCATTAACTGAAATTATATATATTTAGTCTTGACCTGCACCCCGGATTCATTATTCATCTGTTGAGGACGATCTCTGCTGGCGTGCAGTGAGCAGTGCCAGACACTTATTAATGTCGGCCAGTGAGGTCATACATCATTTAATGCTGCTTTTAGAATAAAAGATGTTTGATGCCGTGGCGTCTCTCGCCCCTCGTCTGAATAAGAAACACTTACGCTCGACTGAATTCAAAGAGAAAAAGTGAACGGTGAGGAAGAAAAGCTCACAAAGCCTCTCAGGTGAGTCATTTCAAACCACGCCGCCTGCCTCCATGGGTTTCTGTCGTCCTTTCTAAATGGCTACGTCCACAAGCTGCCCGCAGAAAGAAGACAGGGAGAAAGAATGAATGAAAGAAACGGAGGGTGGGGTTGGAAATTGGGACATAAAGGAGAGAATAAATCACCCAGTGAGGAGGACGACGCCTCCTGATTGGAAACACAGCACGTGATTCTTTCTCTCTTCTCTTAGCCTTTCTCCCATCGCTCTTCTTATTTTACTCCCTCTGTCATTTCTGCGGAGATTTAGTGGAAGTGAAAACACTGCACACATGCACGCTGTTATCTTTTGAATGGCACTTACATAGATGCATGCATCTTAGCCCGAATAGCAAACCGTAATGAGATAGAGGAGCGCACGTTAACATACAAGAAGCACTTTGCTTCCCTCGTCCATTGAGGGTCGAAAATTAAGACACTTAAAACCAGAGTGGGGAAATCCAAACCCTCCTATCATCGCTCTAAACCAGGCGTATTCAGAGTCTGACACTGTGGGCCCCCTCAGACAAGATTGAGAGAACTGTGCCAACATTACAGCAAATTGGCACAATTTTAAAAGTATGCCGAATTAGCTATTATCAGATTATCTTTGCAACGCTCCCATGGTCGTGCAGACAGCTATCACTGGAGTGCTTTGATACCGAAGGAACCTTCAAAAACGTGACAAATCTCGTGAGAGTTCTGAAATCAAAAGCAGCGTCTCGTTTCTGTGACTTCTAAGCAGATTTATTCATGTATTCGCAACGGACATCGGAGATAAAGGATATCTATAATGAAAGAATGTCAACACAATTACTGATGGCTGTGTAATTAAAGAGTGATGGAGCCTGATAATTTACAACCCATCCGTCTAATGTTCCAGTGATGGTATCGAGGAGTTAAATTCAATGCTGAACTGTGAATCAATCCCTGTGGTGGGACTACGGAAGTGTGACTCCACCTCTTGTAACCTGTACAGTGTGTTCTTTCATAGGTCAGTTAGTCCTTTATCAAAACTATACATAGGACGTCGCTAAAGTTTATATTTGGCTCAATTTAAGCACCAAAACTGCCCTTAACAAATATATAACAAACTATGATCATATCATCATATCAACACCTCCAAGTTAATTAATAGTAGTAATGAATTATCACCAAACCCTAGTTTCTCATTTTATCTTTAACCTCCATAGAAATATGTTTAATTACTCAAATGACAACATTGCAGTTTGGTTATTCATGAATATGAGGATATTTTACTTGCTCTACTTGGAACGTTGCTTAATGCGACTAAGGAAGTTGTTTTTCATCTCAACCATTATGTATATGAGTGTGTGTCTGTTTGTGTGCACTGCTCAGTGAGTGGGTGTGTTTGGTTCCAACACCAGTTATTATCACAGCACTAATTACCCAGGGGAATTGTGGGTAAACAAATCATTCTAAAGAAAAGAAAGGCCCACGGAGAAAAAGGAAGAGGAGTGGAAAGAAAAGTGTCGGCGCATGAAAACAAAAGTGAAGAGGGCTCTTTGAGAGGAAGTCCTCCGGCCCAGACAGACCTGATCAAAGCATCAATCTGACTCCAATCACGGTGTCGCTCTCGGCGCGTCAGAAACCGCTCCAGACCGGCACACCTGATCCAATTACGCCGTTATGAAAATGTGCGGCACTTAATTGGGTCAGGTGTGTCGTAGAGCTCGTAGCACAGGCTCTCCTTAAGGACGCGTGGACGGTATGAGGAGAGAACTTCTGTAAATCATTTTAGCATTTAAACTGCGTCATGCGTTCTGTTCTTTGTGTTGCTCAGCATCACATCGCTGGTAAAGGACATCCTGAGCACAAGTTTAAATAATAGTTCGAAGGCTTGAGGATGGATATTAAAATGCTGGAAAGGTCCAAATGAAACTCAGTCTAATCCGGTCTGCTGAGGGTTTTCTTGCCACCTATTCTGGACCTGTGAAAATAGGACTTTCAATTATTTCCGTAAATGAGTCTTTGAAGCTTATAAACAAATTAGTTTGGGATTAATTTGTAAGGACATTATTATCATATTGCTGCATTTTCACCACAGCAGCTTGTCTGGGGTCTGCTGAGGTCGACTGCATTTGGATGGGGTCTAATTATAATTGGGCCTATTCTGGTCTGGTCTGATCAGATCAGGTGTCTTTTCGTTCTATTCGGATACGGTCAGATGTTTTGGACAGCAAGTTCACTTTGCAGATTTGATCTCTTCCGCAGAACAAATGCAACTTCAAACAATAAGCCAGCCTTTACGTCTTTATTAAAGGTGAATACGTCTTTGAGTTTGTGGGTTTTCAAATTCTACAGATTTCTGAATGCATTAATCCGTTAGTCGCTGAACGGCTAAACAGAAGGTGCTTCGTGGGAGGAACGGCTGGGAATGGCTCTCAAACGTCAAGTGTAGAAAACCGGCTATTTGAGTGCGATGTCCGTCCTGTGGTGCCTCAATAACATGCTGCATATCTCTGAAGAGTCCCCACAGCGCACCAGCAACTAGTTCATTCTCTAGTCACCAGAAACTCATGACTCACATGTCAATAACATTCATTCTCTGTGCCACTCGTCCTCCTTCTCATCTCTCTGGATGTAGACATCACAGGACTCACTCCGTCTGAGTGCTGCACAGACTGCGTTGTGAATGGAAATAGACGCCTACGCACACTGACACACACAGGTACATACATCGTAGAGCACACAAACACACACATCCTCTTGTGTTTGCTGAAAACATCCTGTTGTGAGAAAACAGCTCAGGAGGAGAGAAAATAAATATGAGTAGAGAAGGTGAAAGGGAAATGGAAGGAAGACTCCATGTCAGAGAAAAGGATACTCAACGTCTCCCTGTCGAGTTTTTATATTGTTTTTATGAATTAACAGCAGCTTTTTTAACAACTTAATTTCTCAAATATTCTCTGGTTTCATGCTCTCAGATTCATTTTTTTGTGATGACGCAGTAAACTGAATATATCTGGGTTTTGGACTGTTGTTAGTAAAATGTACTTTTGTTTTCTGTTATTCATCAGGTCTACTATACTTCTTTTCAGGACCAGGATAAGTCTTGGTTTGCTTATTATTATTATTATTACAGGATAAATTCATCATTTTTTTATTGGGATTTAAATGGCCGTTGGATTTATACTGCTACATTTCTGAGGTTTTGTGGAGGACCACATTTATGTAGCCTCCCTTACTCCCTCATGTTTCTGGATACCTAGATTAAAAGAGACGGGGGAAGAGAAACAAAGGGGAAGAAAAAGACGGACGGAGGACGCAGTTGAATTGATGGCGTTCGGGCTTCCAGGACCTCTTCAGCAGAGAGACTCTAACAGTCTGACTCACAGGAGCTGGCATGAACAAACACATTTCCATTTCTTATCTTGGCTGGTGGCCAGTCAGCAAAATTCAGATTTTTAGGACACAGAAACAGGATTTTATGCTCCTGTGTGCCTCGCATCATAATATTATTTTTCAGGAAGAAGATACAGAAGATGATAATCATAAAAGTGGGAGTAGCAGTAATAGTGGTATGTTGCAAGAATCGTGTCAAAGTCAATTTCCTCTTTAGCCTCTCAGCTGACATCTTGAAATCTACACCTACACACACACAGACACACTAACGCATGCATTACACACTCTTTTGCACACACTCGTGTCACTCCGAGTCTCATTCACACACACACAGTTGCAAACTCATCAGCACATTTTTGTCCCCCCACTTTCCCCCAGCATGCTCCATAATTATCACATAGCAGCTCATTGCACACTGTGCCATCTGTTAGTCGCACGCCCAAAACCCTCAACACGCGCGCGCACGTGCACCACCGCACACTGCCAGATGCTTGGGATCCTTGGATTAATAAGACAGTCTTACCATGTATAACTAAGTTTGCAGCATATCATTAACAATTTGCAATAAGAGGATAAAGAATCGCATTGAGAGCGGAGCCTAGAGAACACACTTCACAAGGGAATGTCCTAAAATAAAACAAAATGATCTGACAGGGGAAGGCAGTATAGATGAAAGTAATGTCACAACAATAATCGCAGAATTATCTTGACGGCTCTGTGTTTTATCCGATCTTCAGATAAATATATTCTAGTACTGACATACGTACATACAATCACGTTCCTTCAGACGCAAAATAGAATCCGACATGCGATTAAATATAACATCATTTCATGCACACTATTTAGTTTTCAGTACATCAGGTTTTGATTAGAAGGGTGCTTAAAAGATGTGTGTTTGAACCAGGAATATCAGGTTCCTTGTTTGTTCATAAAGGTTCTTCCAAAGACAAAATACTGGAACATGTTCAGAAAAAAAACGTGTTCAGTTGAAGGTGCAGGACCTCGAATGGGATTTGTATCGACTTCCTGTCACCTACACAATACATAACCTGGCAAGATGAAAGATAATCCCGACTGTCCGATAAACAAGCTGCTCGGCCCTGAAGCCGGACCAATTAGGCACACATAGAGGTAAACGCCACCGCGCTGGTTCAGACCGGGATGAAACTAACCGGAGCTGTGACGCCAGCGCCCTCGTACTGTTTGATGAATACCTCTCCGGGGCGCGGTGGGCACCATCCTCACCGCTCACTACACCTGCGGTGACCTCTGCAAGCAGCCAATGGAACACCAAGCGGTGCTGACGTCACGGTCATGTAATTCACATATTCGTTATCATGTAGCTGCCTTCACATCAGTCACAGAGCTGGAACATGATCACACACCCTCACTTTCCCTCGCTTTAGTAAGGGATTTCTGTTGTGTGTGTGTGTGTGTGGGGGGGGGGGGACTCCCCCTCTTCAATTATTTACAGGAAGCCCTCATGCATCTGTGACTTTCAGCGACAGGCTGAGCAAGCCCAGCAGAGCGGCACAGATCTCTTGTCTTTCTCCTCCCGATGACTCCGTTCTCTTCCTCTCATCCCTTTGTCGTCAACATGTTTTCCTTCCTCCTCTCCGTCTTATTTGGTCTTCCGTCTGAAACCTTTGTCCTCCTTCCTCTCTGGCTTCTTTTCTCTTTAGTCTTTTGTCCTTCGTCTGTATCTTTTTCCTCCTCTGAAAACAACCTTTTTCTCTGTCCTCAGATTGTCCGTGTCCTACTTCTTCGTCCCCTCCTTTTTTTTTGCCTTCCACCCAAGTCTTTCCTTTCTTCTCACCCCTCCTTCTTTCTTTCATGATTGGTCCTGGCCTCGCCTTTATTCCTCTCACCTCTCCCTTTCATTTCCCTCCTTTCATCTCCTCCCCTCCCCTCCCATTTTGAGTCCCCCCTCCCCTCTCTCCATCACCTCTCCGTTCCCCTCCTCCCCGGCTCCCGTCATCTCCACCCCAAAAAAAGAAATGAAGGGGAGGAAAGAGGGATGATGTTAGGGAGAAGAGACGTCAGTGAAAGAGTGTGAACTCTCTCTGAAGAGTCAGCATGGAAATAATTCATATTCCACTCAAGCAGATCCCCGCTCCTCCTCTACCTCACTTCCTCTCCACTTGCTCTTCACCACCTCCCTCACCCCTCTGTCTAATCACGTCTTCCATATTGTTCTGTATGTCCCTTTATAATAACACTAATTTAGCTCTTTTTTGGTTTAGTGTGCCGTTTTCATTCATAACTTGAAATTATTTGGTTTTCTTTTTCTTAATATTTTGCACTCAGGGAGAAAAAGCCTCTGGAGTTGCATTAAAACATGATTACTTAATGCACACTTGTCCATAATCTGACAAATATGTTTCATTGGCATCCATTAAAAGCAATTCATCTCTCTCTTTTGTCATCTCTCTCTCTGTGTCTAATGCACCTGCCTCCAACATTCTGTCGCACAAAACCTACAAGACGGGGTCTTTTATTTTGTCTTTTGACATGAGAAAAGCTTTTATTGTATCATGCATGCTTCGATTCTCCTTTAAATTTAAGCCTAAAATGTAAGTGACGTAATATTATAATTTAGAGCAGGATTTGTCTGTAACTGCTACTTCAGGTGATAAATGCATTTTGCCTCATTCTGCTCAGTGTGCCGTCCTTCAGACGGAGCACAGACTCAGGGAGTGTGATGGTCTGTTCACCGGCTAACTGAGGGGAACTAAAGTCACCCGACGGTTCTTTTGAGCGGCGTTATGAGATGAGCGTGTCATGTTTCAGTAGGGTTTAAAAAAAAATCACATACGTCATGGTTTTCTATGAGAGTAATCTGAATATTACACTATATATTGGATAAAACTATCTATTTCATGTCACCTTGGGCTGTGGGAACTTGTGAAGTACAATTTCTGACTATTATTCACTATCCTGACACTTTAGAAATCTAGTGATTAATTGATTGGCCTTCTTTGTTGTTTTTCTTTTGTAAAGCCTTATTTGTCCTTACTCCTGTGGATAAAGTAAAGTCTTATAAATGACCAGAGATTTGTCGAAGCAGGCTGATACGTCCATTTGTCTCCCACAAATAATTACCGCAGCTTAAAACCAAACACTCGGGACCTGGGTGAGTGACACATTATTTGCAATTAAGCCCCATCATTTTCCAGGAAGAAGCATTAAGCCCTCAGCAGGACCAAAAAAAAAGACCAATAAAAATGATGCATGGCCCAGACAGACAGACAGACAGACAGACAGACAGACAGACAGTAAAAATACTGAAACAAAATGTCTTGTGGACACTGTCCATCTGGGATTTCTCACCCTTGTGTGTCCATGCTGGTATGCTGCATGTGTGTGTGTGCGCGTGCTTACCGATGAGTAGAGGTGACCCTCTCCATTCATGGCGATGTAGAGGCCAGTCTTGACCGATTGGATGGCCACGACTCTCAGACCCACAGGAATTAAGTTAAACAGAGCTGAGGACAAGAACAGAAGAACTGAGTTTTAAGTGCCTTGCGTTCCTGTTTCTCTTTCTCGACATATGGCGCTCTGAGAACCTCAAATGTCAGCTGGTCTGTTGCTTGGTTAGCTCGGTTATTTCACGGGGAGGTGAAGAAGCAGCTCGGCCTCGAGGGGGCCACTAGCAGGGCTTTTAAAGTCAAGAGTTTTGCAGAGGACAAGTCTGCAGAACACTGCTTTAAATTAAAGAAAAAACCCAGTGATGATTTGTCTCCAGAGCTCTGGAATTTACAACTAAGGTATTCTGTGTTTTAAATTAAGTCGAGTCATGTAGAAATTGATGTGTTATTATAACACATCAATCGGAATGAAAATGAAAACAAGACAAATTCAAACGTAACCCTTGTGTTTTGTTGCCATTGACTTTATTTCCTCATCGCCAATTGTGTTTTATATTTTGACTGTCATCATTTGTCCATAACATTTTAATACCGGCCTACTCTTGTCCATGTTTTTCAAGGGCACCGTCGTGCTCTCGGCTGCACCGGGTCAGTGTTATTTGAAGAGCAGCAGTCGGTGACGCTCGAGGAACAGACAGCTGATCACACCCTCACAGCCTCGGGCAGATACTCCAAAGGACAATGCTGGTGTCACCGGTGTGTTTGTTCACTTCCTGCAAACCCGTACTGTCTTGTTTCGTTTCACATTTGTTCCACTTTCACGATATTAACCTTTGATATTAACCTTTTTAACCAATGGTTTACTTTTAGAAACCAAAACTGTTGTTTTACATGAATTCAGAATTAACATATATAATATATTTGCTAAATGTGTTGCTTTGTTAAATGCTGCAGCAGACGACGATGTCAAAATAAATCTGAGGAGTAAACTGAGGATGTTTTGTACTCAAATCTGATTTCATAAAAACACGTTTTTTGCCACATTTATGGTCTAACCTGGTTTGTGGGATGTTTTCATCAGTTATTGATGATCTACTTTTTTGGGGGGGTTGTGGCTTGCAGCCCGTGGCTCGAGTATAAAGATGTTAATTGTTTCATGTTGTGAGTTTGATGCCAGGAAAAGGTGGAACTGTTGCAATTTCGGTAAACTTAGTGCTGACAGTGTGGTGGGAATGCGTTGCTTTCATTTGTGCAGCTCTTGAAATATCTGCCTCCGCCCCGACACAATGGAGATGAACAGAATTTTGTTTGTGCCACTCCAAACATTTGCAGAGTTCATCTGCAGTGTGTCTTTTCTAAAAACACTTGATAATCCACTGTGAACAGCTTTTATTTTGAATATTCCTTCAATGGCCACATTAGGTTATACAACTAACCTATTCATGGGTTGAGGATGAGGTAGTCTAAAACCACTTGTCTCTTAATTAATCCTTTCATGGTGGAACATTGTTGAAGGTTGTGGCCCTCTCTGAAAGGATGATTCAATTAGATAAAAGGTGTTTGTTGGGATATGTTGAATCGAAGGCTACCGCTTATTTCATTGAGCCACTGCAAAGCTTAAAGACTCGCCAGCTCGCAAACTGTGGGCTGAAGCTGTTGATTTTAATAAATTTAAATCCAATCATAACGTGAGGGTCATACACACAGAGATATCATTGTGTAGTTGTAACAGAACAATGACCCGTGATGAAGGGCCGGGAAGATGGACGCGCCATTTGAGACCAACAGCAGCGCTGGTTCTCTCTAATCAAGGGCTGATTACACCTGGGGCGTCAGTCTGAGCCCTCATTAATCAAGGTTACATAGAAATGGTCTCTAACAACCGGCGTCAACACTTTTCTGAGTTGAGCGGAGGAAATTTGAGTGTGCGCAAGTTAGTACACCTGCAAGTAATCATCCTCCATAAATATCACTCTTTTCTAAACCGCCAGATTCATTAACATAAAGATATGCGCCCAGCTGATTGGAGATGCAACAACACTCCTTTTAAAATGCTGCAGGAAATGTCAGCGACGTCTCCCCTCGGCTGAACGCGGCTCAGCCAGAAAAAAACAACAACAACCCCGACAAACAAATTAAAAATGAAGCTTGGCAACGAGCTGCAGTGAATTCTGTTCGATCTACACGCCGAGCTGTGGCAGAAAGCCTAAAAAATGGTGATGGTAAAGACATCCGCCAAAAATTGAAAACAAACAGAGCAAACAAGCGGGACATTGCTGCAACACGCGGATGGAAGGGAGCAACCGGCTTGGCCAATGTTGCAGGAACACTTTGGACAAGCGATTGGCTTGATTACTGATTAGCGTTTGATTTTCTCTCAGCCCCGAGCACATCAGAATATAGCACTGGCCACATGAATCAATAAGCCATCCATCTGCAGCCGCTCCCCGAGGGCAGCGTCGGCTGCAGAGGTCCAATAAACTAGGATTCAAGAAGCGAAACCCTCTGAGCGGCCACTTGTCGCATGCAGTCGAACAGTTGGTGTGCTCTCTGAAAACACACGCACACACACTGCCTGCAGAACGCGCCGTAATGAAAACAGCGTCCCTGTCTTGAGGCTGTCTTTATGATTGCATATACGCCGACGTTCAATCATTGCCAACAACTGTCAGTCATTTAGATTGCACAGATTGTAGTCAGACAGTGTTTCTAATTCCCTTGTAAACAGAGGGACTTGACCCTGTTGAATTATCTCTATAATAACTACGATGCAATACATGTTTCTTCTGCTGGTCGCTCCTCTTCACAGCGAGACACAACAGTGTCTTTCGACCTTCCATCAAATCAGCTGACGACAAGTGACAGACATGTCATCTCTAAATAACTATTTGCACTTGAGAGAGACTGTCTGGCTTTTTCTTTTGCTGTGGTGAAATTCTGGTTTTGAGCAACGATATTCTTTTTCTCTTTAAGTCTTTCCTTTTCAGATACTTCATGCATTGTCAGTGTTTGCAAATGTATACCTTTGGCCAAATGTACTGTAATATATCGGCACACCTCATAGTGTATGGTATATATCTGTGTGTGTGTGTGTGTGTGTGTGTGTGTGTGTGTCCTCTTACAGGAGTTGGTGCTGTCGTCTTTGGTCCCGTCCATGCTTCCATCCTGGCCCATCTGGAGATAGAAGCCCTGCCTGCAGAACAACCTGGTCACTATGCCCTTCAGCTGTGGTTCTACACAACACACACACACACACACACACACACACACACAGACAGAGACACAGGGGGAAGAAGAGTTGAGAGGAGCCGATCTTCAAAATCAGGACAGCCCCGTGAATAATGAAAGAGCGAATGAAAAGAAAATGATGAGTTTTGTCAGCTTCCACAGAATGATTTATCTACAAATTCATCCCCATAAATCAATTTCTGCGCAAATCCTGCAGGGCACATTGGAGATACACTGCAGTTTGGCATTAAAGAAGAATGTGACCACATGCGACCTGATGCATTCTGGGGGATTTCCTGTGGAGACTAGTTGGGCACATCCAATCCATTACAGGATTCTTGGACTAATCCTTCCTTCGTGGTCATTGTTCCACTTGAATAACGCTGATGAATTATTCCTGAACCTTTGATGGCGTAGAGAAGCTTCATAATGGCTTTGCATCTCCTATATTCAGTTTACGATTTATCTACTGCTGGTGAGGATTCCCTTTATTAAAACTGAGATAACTGTGTGTTTCTCTCCACCTAAAGCACTTCATCTATAACGTGAATAATGTGTATAAAAGGCCAATAAATATAGTGTTTGTAAAATACTTATCTTTGCTACAACTCACTTGATTTTGATAAATCCACATTGAAGTGAAGATGCTTACATTGATACAGAAATAATATCTCGAAAACAACTAAATCACAGTTTGTTGTGATTGCCTCTCACAGTTTGTTTCGTGCTTTTCACTGTCAAATAAACAAAATGACTGATTTAGCAGAAAAAGACAAACTACAAGTAGCAGAGGGGAGGAGCTAAGGGACAAAGACTGACAGAGAGCGAGACAGACAGCAGGATAGAATGAGCAGAAACGTATGATCTGCATTAAGTGATGTAATAGTAGTGCAGATTTCTGTCATCATTACTCCTCACACACACTTACATGTGGCCACACCCTTTCTGCCTCTACCAGCGTCTTAAAGCAGGGGCGGGAATCCCCTTTGAAAATGTGTGTGTGTGTGTGTGTGTGAGAGTGAATGAGTAAAGGTGCATCCTAATGCACAGAGACAGAAAAAAAGCAAAGACTGACCCAGTTTATGAAGAGAGATTATGTGTGAGGGAGAGAGAGGGAGAGAGAGAGATATAGACAGGGGTGTTTTCCATCTTTGTGAAGGATCCATCTTGTGCAGCACAGGAGAAGAGGGGCTCTGAAGCTCGCTGCCAGCACTCGAAGTGACAAAACTCCCAGCTCACCACTCACTGTGGTGTGTGGTGAGCTGCAGCCGACGAGGCTCAGAAATCTCACTTGGATCAGAAAGACATGCTAGTGCACGGAGGTGCACGGCTAATGCAAATCAGAACATGAAAATATGAATTCAGATACGCTTGATTGATTTGATGCATTAATGTCTCTGTGCTCGTACTTGATAGTTGCAGTCCTGTGCACAGTCATTCCTAACATCCTTTATTCTTTATTCTTCCCTATGAATAACACACAGCACAGTCTGTACTTGTATGCATTAAGTAAGCATCGTTCCATCTGACAGGTGTGATATTTCTCGCTGCTTTATGGTTTAAAGTTTACCTGCCCAGCATCCGTCTGTCAGAGCGGAACTGAACTCAGTCGCATATCAATCTCTCTGAGCTTGAGACGAACGACAAGAAGAAACCGCTGGAAATGTAATTTATTGTCTCTTGTCTATTTTTAAAACATGTCATGCTCTATATATCTCATCTATGACGTGTTAATTCATGAAACATACTGTGAAATGTTACTGAATTACACTTGGAGGAGAGTTATAACCCTGTCTGATATATTACAGAATACCTTTTCCTGGCAGGCGCGGTGTGACTCAGCTGATGGGAATTTGCAAATCCACGCAATATACTTTTCCAACAAAGATTTGTAGAAAAAGATTATGTTTCTCACAGTAAGATATGAAGAGAAGAAAGTTTTGGTTATTATGATATCTAATCATCAATACAGTGGATCTTGGATCAACGTAGATTAACTCAATAATAACTACATATTTAATTTAAAATCCATAGAATTAAACTGAGAATAAATCAACAACCAACCACAGCTAACCAGAGGTTAAACCAATCCAGACTCTCTCACGCGTCACACTGTACTGATCAGGACAAACACTAGAACTGAGCCAACACATGAAAGGACGTATTCATCTCATGTGATATCATTCATCGTGGGATAGATTCTTGATCACATAGTCCGGCCCTATTACGAGTAAACGTAAAGACTCAAATGGTGTTATTGTTGGTTTTGGCACAACTCCCCGCTGTAACGGATGAAAGATCAATAACTGTCCCGCTGCATCCACTCACCCTCTATTTATGCGTCTACACATCCGCCTGACATCCAGGTGTCCCTCCACTCGTTCCCACTCTTCCCAGTAAACCTCCACATTCTGTCTGTTACTAGGGAAATTCCCCTTTTCGCGTTGCCCCGGCAACTGCCTCGTGATTCCAGACTGTTCCAGTGGAAGGGTATTCCCCCATCCACACACACACACACACACACACACACGCACGCACGCACGCACACACACACACAGCTACATTTTCACCATGATGTGATCTGATTCAATCAGTCAGCCCGTCGGGCGGCCACGCTGATTTGACATATTGTGTGTTGATTCGCTCCAGTCTGAGTCTAACTACAGTGTTTGACACGGTATGAAATACCAACATGGGCGTCTCATACAAGCGATGCATTGAAGACTCCCTCTCTCTCTCTCTCTCTCTCTCTTTTTCCCCCCCCCCATCTCGAGTGAAAAATTCTCGAGCGGCAAGTGAATGCAACCCTTTCATCCTCATTTACATGAGAGCGTTGAGTAATTAGAGAAACACTTGGGGTGCTGAAAAGAGTGGGTTCCTTGTTAAAATACAGACGCTGTTGGACCGTTCACATCGGCCTCAGCTACAGTAAATGTGCCACATGTCGTCATCATCATCGAGGCCTTTTTAGCCTCGACAGGAATACGATCCAGAGGGAAACACTGATGTCAACTATCGATGATCCATACCTGCTTATTATAATACATTATGCAAACTGAGGTGACAGTGTTAACCACAGGGCTACATATTGAGCGATGCGTTTTATTAAGTCAAAGTTGGACTAGCCCAACTGGCTCCTCCAGCGTCCTCTCGCCGTACTGAACTCCTCATCTCAGCAGCGGATCCTTATTTTGGCATGTCCATAATCTCATCCTCTCGGTCACTACGCAGAGCTCGCGGCCACGGCTGAGGGCCGGACACGACATCAACACAAAATTCAAGCGCTTTGTGGTTCAACACCGCAACGTTCCCAGAGCCGAAACATTCACATTGTGGTTTCGGGAGTAAAAATGCGTGAAAGCTTGTGCACCTTTCAAGGGCATCTGTGGCAAACTGGTCTCAGGTAAGCAGCCAGGAACACGTAACATTTGAAGACAACAAATATCAGGACCTATATCTACTGTGCACAATGAATGACATGAGTATTTAACTAACTGACAAGACAAAAAAAATATCATCTCAGGCTGCTAGAAGTTGTGATTTTATAGGCTAAACAATTCATCAAAAATAATTGTTGGTGTGTTAATCGATAATGAAATGAATCATTTATTGCATCCCTGCAGACACACACACTCCTCACTTTAACTGCCTTCTCTTGTTTCCTCTTTCCTATGAACGCCACACCTTCTATTCATTGAGTAAACACCGTTCCATCTGACAGCGGGGATATTTCTCGCTGCTTTATGGTTCAGAGTTTAGCTGCCCAGCATCCGTCTGTCAGAGCAGAACAGAAATGAGCACACACGGACAGAAATCAGTCAAACATCAATCTCTCCGAGCTTGTTTGTGAGACGAGCGACAAGAAATAATGTAATTTATCGTCCCTTATCCTTTTCCAGAACTCGTCATGTCACTTCTAAGTGTTCATTTATAAGACAAAGTAATAAATGTTGCTGAATTAGACCTGGGAGGCACAGAGCAGAGTGTACCTTCCAGCCCGGCTTTGCATTTATGCATCTGTCTTTCTGTTGGCTTATAACCCGTCTGATGTGGATATATTACAGCTGCATTTCGGAGACGGCATGTAATACTAGATTACCTTTCTTGGCTGGTTGTGTGACTCAGCCGATGGGAATTTCTAAGGCCACATGATTTATGCTTTCGATTGAAGCTACCGAAAGCCAATATTTTGTTTGCAGTGGATTATCTTTTAATTTGGCGGGGAACTCCTGTCCATCATTACCATCAGCTTTAGGTGAGGTATAGCAGCTCTTAAAGACTGATTTCACTGCAGGATGTAAATACTGTCTTCCCACACCAGCACCGTGAACTACCCACTCAGACGTCTAATTATTAAGAGTAACACACTGAGAAGAGCCTCCATCATATCACAATTGGACTGATATCACATTTGAATAAAAAGCCAATTTTGGCTCCATGACGTCTAACTCTAGCCGATACAAGCACGCAAGTTACAGATAATTTTGTCTCTCCTTCACAAAACCTCTGGAAGACAGAAGGGGATGTTGGCATATCTCTCTCACACACACACACACAAACACACACAGATTGTGGACGTTGCCAAGCTTTCACCAGCAGCTCTCACAGCTGGGAACACAGAGGAGGGAGTGACGGAAGAAGGGGAAAAGGAGGGAGGGAGGACGGAAAAAGAGGGAGGAAGCTGGAAGGTAGGAGGAAAAGATCTGAGGTATGTGGGGATGATTGAGTGGAGAGGAGGAAGAAAGAAGGTAAGGGAGAAAGGTGACAAAGGAGGGGAGAAGAGAAAGGAGGAGGAAAATAGAGGGACTGAAGCAAAGATATGAAAAGAGGGGGAGAACAAAAGGGGAAAAAAGCACAAAATGAAGCTGGAAGAGGGGAGGAAATGATCTAAGGTAGGGAGAGAAGGGTGACAAAAAGGGAAATAAGGAAGAGAAGGGGGGTAAAAGCAGAGGAACTGAAGGTGATGCATGAGGAAAAGAGGATGTAAAAGAGAAAGGATGAGAGGAGAGGAAAGGAGGCTGTTGTCTATTCTTCCGAAAAAGGGAACAAGGCTGTAAGGAGGGATGAAAAGATCTAAGGAGGGAGGATCGAATGATATAAGAAGGGCGGAAGAAGGGTCAAAGGGAGGTTATGGGGTGGGGGGGCAGAAGAAGGTGGAGGAGAAACAAGGGATGACAAAAAGGGAAAAAAGGGCAAAATGCAGTGGAACTAAGGACTTGTAAATGGAGACGGTAGGAGGGAGAGAGGAGAGGAAGCCGTTTGTCTGTTCCTCCTGTAGGGAACAAGGGAGGAAAATAAGGAAGAAGGGAATGAGAAGATCTAAGGTAGGAAGAAAGGTGACAAAAAAGGAAAGAGAAGGGAGGAAAAACAGAGAGAGGTTGTTGTTGAAGGGAAGGACAATAAGGAAAGTGGCAAAAAGGAAGAGAAAGATTCAGAGTAACTGAAGTGAGAAAAAGAAAAATTGAGTAATTTGGCTCTCAGATCCCAAATACTCCCGTCACTCACCAGACCAAACTGGTGAAAACCAATTCCTATCAACATGACTCCTCACGGTCACCTCTCCTCTATCTCCTCCTCAGGCTCCCCTCATCTCATTTCCTGCCTCCTTCTCTCCTCCCTTCATCCACCCCTCCGTACAGCGGCACCTGCTGCCTTCTCACACAATCAATTGATTACAACAGCATTTATCGCCTCTGCTATTGAACGCTCCTCTCGCTAATCTGCAATCTAATCAATTCTCTGTGCATTGACGGCGAGATCCGTCCCAAATTTGGAGTTGGACGCGACCTCTGAATGGTGGAAATGTTGACTTTTCAACCTCAAAACACGTTTCCGCTTTTTCAATCAGATAGAAAAATCTGAGCACGGTGTGATTTCAAAATAAGAGAGAGGCCTTAGTTTTGTTCTTGTCATTGCCTTTAAATCAGGACGTTCTGCTACTGTTGGTGGTGACAGGGCTTCTGAATTATGAGCTGAAAATGAGAGAGCGAGGTAGAGATGCACAGAGACAGACTGAGAGAGAGAGAGAGACTAGACAGACTAATCTGTGGCTTCAATAATGGATGTACCTGGAAACTACTGAACCATAGGGCACTACAAGACATGACAGTGTGCGCGCGTGTGCGCGCGCGTGTGTCACCACGGAGCAGAGAGAGGAAAAAAGAAGGAAGGGCGAGTCTGTCAGTCTTTTTGTGCATGATATTGGGGTGTGTGTGCGCGTGTAGGAGCGCGCGCGAGTGTGCGCCAGGCAGGTCGTGCGTGTGCGAATGTGGCCGTGTACGAGTGCGACCGCGCGTAAAAGTGCGTGCGTTTCTGCATGTGCGTGGAAGCGCGCACCTGCATATCAATACATTGGCGTGCGTGCGATTGTCTGTGTGCATGTGCATGCACGTGCGCGTGTGTGTCGTCCCCCCCCCGCCCGCCCGCACACCTTGTCTCCGTAGCCTCCTCTTCTTCAGGCCAAATATCCGGACTTTGGAGAAGATGTCGACCAGGTTCCCGTTGCACAGCCCCTGCTTCTTACCGGGGCTCTTCCGCCGCCGGTGAGGGGTCGGTCGGTGGACATGTTGCTCTCTCGCCTGTCGCTTCTGCCGGATCAAACCGCTGGCGATGGCCGCTGCCATGTCTCCGCCGAAACAAAAACCGCCCCGTCTCCGTCCGTGTCTCCAGTCTCCTCAGTTGTGTCCACGGAGCGGAGCACAGACGCAAACCTCCGGTCTCCGCTTTACCGGCTATAACGGCCCCATGCTTCAGCCACAACGCGGTAAAGTCCAAAATGAGCACGCCACTGCACGTTACAGCATATTTTCTGTCATCATTATTCCCCGGGCCGTTGATTTCTTGAAACCTACAGCGGTTTACCTGTCCGTCACGTTCCACCGGTCTGTCTGTCAGTCAGATAACAGCAGCTGTCACTGAACGGCTCCTCCAACCGATTTTACCGGACCCCGTTTGTCCGTTTCTGTCCCCATGGTCAACGGGCGAGACAGACAAAAAAAACAGGAGAAAAATGAGGACAATGCCTCAGAAAGCGATTCTCGCCTCTCCTCCGAAAACGTCCGTTTGTATTTCACTGACAGGAGCGCGAGGCGCGCGTGCAGCCGCGAGCTGCTCCAGCTGCGTGGAACTAGCGAGAGTTACCCAGAGCATCACCGGAAAGAGGGCGGGTTGGCTTTCAAAGTGCAGGCTGGACAGCATCTGTGTTGGTCAAATAGATCTTATAGGCTGCATCAGTGAGTCACTTCACAGACACAATACAACCTTTTATACCTTTAGACCATTTACTGTGTTCACTTCCACAGCCTTCATTTCTTCTTTTATCGTCTGTCTTTTTGCTACTTGCTGCTGCCATCAAGTGGTCGATTTTCATCTAATCTACATTTTTATTTTTATTTTATTAGAAACACAACTGACACATCACAGCTGCTTGTATAGGCCTTTTATATATGATAATATCATAATATCATTAACTGCTAAAAGCCCCCTGCAGCATCACTGTTTCATCTTGTGCTAATTAAAGACCATAGAGTGTAATGATTTAGTCCTCTTTCACAATGTGCCTATACTTTTATTTAACATTACGTTTAATTCCCTGTTATATGCTTTTTGAGTCTACAGGGAGCAGTGGAACATTTGTAAAGATCGCAGTATCAATCGTATTTTATTGTTATTTTGAAAGTAAATGACCGGATGTCTCTTTGATTGTCGTTCTGGGTAAACTGACTTTGGACAGCGCGAGCGCTCTCTGGAACCACAGTCGCTGGAGCCACGCGCCGAGCGAGCAGTCACACACGCGCTGCCGAAAACAACCTGTCATCCTCCTAACTGGCCGGTTTAAAAGGTGTGTTATTGTTACCTATGGACGGAGCTGCATATGTTTTATTCACTAGACTGTGTCATTGTATGCACAACCAAAGTATGCCATATTGTTCTTTTAAGTAATACTCTGATTGAAGTTTTGCATTCGTTTCCTTACAAGAGTGCAGTGGAAAGCATTGCAGAATGTAGGTCAGCCATCTCTCCAGAATAAAGAGCTGGGCTGGGACCCAGCTGGACACAAAGAACGCTGAAATGAAATGGTCCTTTCTTCTGAAGGAACTCGTATCAAAGAAAATCCCCAAAACATTTTCCATCATGAATAACGGAGAGTAGTACCCCCCCCCATCACATGCATCCCATTCATTTATCACATTCAAGTGGCCAAAAGGCTGAACCGTTTCCATCATTGTCAGTTCCATATGACAACGATGCATATCTGATATCTCATTGTCTACCAGGATGATTGTCATCAGTGTGCTGATAGAAATCATTTTCCCATTTGGACAAAGTCTTTCAATCCCAATATAGATTGTACAGCGACAGTGATAGTGATGTGTAAGTGCGTTCATCTGGGTGATTACAGATAAAGACTGAAGTGAGGATACATTCAAGGAGGCTTAAAAAAGTAATTATATCACAATAAAATGAATAGATTAGTGCTCCTAGATTGTAGCATCTATTTACTGTATTTTATTAGTGTTTCTAAACTCTGAATGATGACAGTCCAATTCATTTTCAAGTATTTTTGACAATGTGTGGATCCAAGAAGGACTTAAGTGCAGCGGGTGAAGCCTGATTAAAAAATAATCGGATGTCGCTTTGAGGCTTCAGGATGTCAGAAGCGAGTCAGAACACGAACAACAAATATATTTCAGCACCATGGACAGCGAACAGCCTCTTTCAGACAGTCTCTCTGCCTCTGTATCTGTTAGTGTGTGTGTGTGTGTGTGTGCTATTCTCATACACACACACACACACACACACACACACACACACACACACACACACACACACACACACACACACACACACCAGTTTTCTTCAACACATCACAGGAATATATATGTAGGGGTTCCTCATGTCCACTAGGTGGCACCAGAGTGTGTGAAAGAACATCAGCCCAACACCAGGAGCTCACTGAGAGCCGTAAGGTATATTTGTGTCTTTATTACGCAAACAAAAAAAAATGTTTTAAAAGCAAATTTTTCGCACTGCAATCAAAAATCAAGTTTCTAAGTGAAAATATATAAACTGAGAATAATTTATTTGTTAGTTTTGCTTATGAAACTAGAATTTTTGGTTAAAAAAATAAAATCTTTGGTTAAAAACAAAAGTTGTCTGACTTGTCTCTCGGTATCTGCATCATCTAAACAGTAGGGGCTAAATGTCAACACAGCAACCCTCCATGTCGTTCTTAAAAAGAGACTCCACGACACTAACAACATGAGAACAAAATGAAGTGCTGCTATATTTAAAATAATTTTGACAAAACAGAGCAGTCAACTTACCTCCATGTCACCGTAACCTCCCGTCTGTGTTTCGATGATGCAGATACCGAGACAAGTCAAACCGACCAATAGAAACTCCTGGTACATTCAGCAGCGTATGCCCCGCCCACTACACCCAACTCAGCTTTTGGTTTCAAAACCAAAGCTTTTCGTTTTGAAACAAAGCTTTTTTTTCCAACCAAAGATATATTTTTTTTCAACCAAAGATTGTTTTGTTTTTAACCAAAGATTTTATTTTTCTAACCAAAAATTCTAGTTTCATAAGCAAAACTAACAAATAAATTATTCTCAGTTTATATATTTTCACTTACAAACTTGATTTTTGGTTGCAGTGCGAGAAATTTGCTTTTAAAACATTTTTTTTTTGTTTGCGTAATAAAGACACAAATATACCTTCATAAACGTCAATAACTCAGCGGTAGTTCACTGTGTGTGGTACATAATGATCAGTGTGGGACTCCTGCACAAGACAAACGGGTGAATGACTTAAAAACTGGCTCATGTAGGCCTAAATGTTCAAATAACCAACTGGAACTATGTCAGTACAGTTATATAATTGTTATCATGGGACGCTTTGCTTTACTTGGTCCTGTTATGGTCTATTTTCATAGACTGATATAGACGCAGGAACAGCAGCAGTCTGTCCCCCTGGATCTTCATCTTTTGTCCCATTTCAGCAGGTAAACCCAGACTCTTCGACAGGATCTCCTGCTTCTGTCTCTGATGTTGCTGACACACTAAGATTTAGACACAGAAGGAACCCCTGCTTCGCCCTCGCTCGTCCCTCTCCCAGCCGGCAGGGAAAAAAGGGAACAAAAAAGACGTGTGTGTGTGTGAGGACTGGATGTGTATGCCGGTTTTTCCAGGTCAGTCCAAGTGAAGGAGTTATGAATAAATCAAAGCTTCATTTACATTAAAATTCATCTCCTCTGCTGCTTTTTATAGCATCAGAGGAAGGCGTGACACAGCTCTTAAACTTCAAAAGAAAAATCTTCGCCCCCCTCCCCCCCTCAACTCTAACTCGTCCTCAAATCTCTCTGCTTCATTGAACACGGTTTGCAAGAGAACACACACACACACACACACACACACACACACACACACAAATCAAGCAAGCAAGCAAACTGAACTATGCAATAAAGGGCATACATATGATAGAAAAAGCTTTTCCTGCATGTCTATGTGTCTAAACACTTATCCTCTAAGTCTGCACAGAGGCAGCAGCGTCCTCTACGGGCAATAAAAGAAAACAGCACTCTCCACTCATCCACCTCTTCTTTCTCCTCCTTCTCTTTTACACCTCTGCAGCTTTACAGCCGGTCCTTGAATGCATCTTGATTTCAAGAATACACTCACTTTGTGCTTTGACACTGCTCCGTTACTTTTCCATCTTCAAGATGCATTCATGACCACTCAGGACGGACAGATCACTATCACAGGAAACTATATTTTCATTCATCTATTGAGTTTAATAGAGATGTTATAGTGGCTAGTTTGTCATGTGATTTACTGGTAATTTGTGACAGTTACATTAACAAATAAGTCTTAAAATGGTACTGCTCTTCTGGGGGCCTCTGCTGGATCTTACAGTTATGTTAAAATCTTTTCGTCATGCGAGCATGAAAAAAAGGAGCACCTGGTGTGACATCCAGCCAGAAATGCAGCGTGAAAGTCAAGATGATCAACCATTCATTTAAATGAAAGATTCACGTGATGAGTTTGGTCGTACTGTGTTTATGGCCCACGAGAATGAATTCAGCTTCATTTATACTATCCATTTTATCAGTAAGTGCTGGGCTCATCAGCGTCTCTGTAGGTGGCGCTCTTTGTTTGATCATGGTGACGACGGCTGCTCCTCTGCTGCTCTGAACAAACAGAGTGCGCAACAGGTGAACATCACATTTAGCTGTATACGTACAGCAGAGAAAAATAAGAGGTGAAAAAGAGGTGAGGATGGAGAGAGAGACAGACAGGGAGCAACGTGAGAGAGAGACAGACAGACAGGGAGTGACGGGAGGATGGAGAGAGAGACAGACAGGGAGCAATGTGAGAGAGAGACAGACAGACAGGGAACGACGGGAGGATGGAGAGAGAGACAGACAGGGAGTGACGGGAGGATGGAGAGAGAGACAGACACGGAGCAACGTGAGAGAGAGACAGACAGACAGGGAACGACGGGAGGATGGAGAGAGACAGACAGGGAGCAATGTGAGAGAGAGACAGACAGACAGGGAGCGACGGGAGGATGGAGAGAGAGACAGACAGACAGGGAATGACGGGAGGATGGAGAGAGAGACAGACAGGGAGCAACGTGAGAGAGAGACAGACAGACAGGGAACGACGGGAGGATGGAGAGAGACAGACAGGGAGCAATGTGAGAGAGAGACAGACAGACAGGGAATGATGGGAGGATGGAGAGAGAGACAGACAGGGAATGATRGGAGGATGGAGAGAGAGACAGACAGGGAGCGACGGGAGGATGGAGAGAGAGACAGACAGGGAGATAACAGATGTGGGTGGGTGTTCCCCAGACAGGAGTGTGAGGATAGCCACTCTCAACTGAGCAGGATGAGTCATAATTCACGCTCAGACACCCGCCCACACACACACACACACACACACACACACACAGAGAGCCGCAGACACGGGGAAGTCCACTGTTTCCAAGGTAACGAGTGATTAGTGACGCAGGTGGATCTCCGAACGAAGAGAGAGGAAACACCTGATGAATGCAGGGGACAACACGCACACACACACACACATCTGGCATCAGTTGCAGTTATCGTACTGCGTCTCTGACTTTATGCTTTGTCTTTGGGTTGGTCTCTCTCTCACACACCTTAACTTCTTTCCTTGTTTCCTCTGTCCTTCTCTTCTCTCATCTCCTCTACTTGTTTCCTCTCGTCTCATCCCATCCCCTTTCCTTGTCCAGTCTTTCCTGTTTCATCTCCCTTCCTCTCCTCTACTTCCAGTGTTTCCTCTCCTCTCTCCTTCTCCTCACTTCTACTTGTTTCCTCTCATATCATATCCTCATCTACTCTCTCATCCCCTTTCCTTGACTACTCTCCTTTCTGCTTCATCTCCTTTCCTCTCCTCCACTATCCGTCTCTTCTCATCTCTCCTTCTCTTCCCTCATCTCCTCTACTTGTTTTCACTCATCTCATCTCCGTACCTTGTCTCTTCCCCTCACCTCCTCTCATCCCCTTCACTCGTCTCCTCCCCTCTATCATCCTCTTTCCTTCTCTACTATCCTCTCTGTTTCATCTCACTTCCTCTCCTTTCCTCGTCTCCTCCCCTCTCATCTACTTTCCTTGTCTTCTATCATCTCTTAGGTTCATCTTATTTCCTTTCCTTTCATCTCATCTCCTCATTTTTGCTCTCATATCCTCCTCTAATTCCCTTGTAACTCTCCTCTCCTCTCCTCTTGTCTAATCTCCTTTCCTTTTCTCCTCTCCTTGTCTATCTTTGTAACATCTCCAGATCAGGGGGAGGAGAGAGGGAATGAGCTACTGAATTATTCATTCAGCCAACTCTCTCTCTCTCTCTCTTCCCCTTACATCTGTCTGCTTCCTCTAGTGTCTTGAATCCCCTCGTTCTCTCTCTTTTATACCTTTTTCTCTCTAATTCTTTACGAGTTATGTATTCAGAGCCACTACATGAGTTAGCTGCTGTTTAGTCAAACTAGAGGTCGATCCAAGTAGATTACACAACATTGTACCGTGGTTTATCTCCTTTTCATTTAGAACTAAACAATATCAGCAGCCCCACATGGCTCTACACCCCGAGGTGAAGTACTTCAGCCTCTCCACAACAGCACCATGTCAATAACAGATTCATGGACCATGGCCCTCTAAACACCTCACATATTATGTTGATCTCTGTTTAAAAGCTTCAGGGACATTTCACAGGAATACCAACAGGGAGTGGCGTTTTAATCTCTCTGCTGCTGTTGGTGCTTTGAAGTGTGAAGGATTGAACAGTGAAAGTCAATTTGTGTTGGTCATGCCTTTTCTCCAGAGTGACCAACTGTAAAAAAAAAAAAAAAAAGACTGTCGACACTGGATGTCTACGGTAAGCATCCTTACCGCTATTTTAAAAGCAGCGTGTTGTTTTGAGGCATTTCCCTCCATTTTGGGGATTTTCACAGAGAGGTCAGAGGTCACGAGCAGGACCCCCAGGAAGAGGAGGCTCAACTCATCAGTGACAATTTTCCACGCAGAAAAATGATAACAGTTGAAGATGGAGGACTTCTGCGTCAGAGCGGTTACATAATCGCTCTGGATCTTTCCCCAAAAAAAGTCAGAACTACAGAGGAAGATGGGAGATGGGGGGGGGGAGATAACTACAGAGACTGAAGGAAGA